ACACTACAACTACCCAGAAACAACTAAAAACTTCAGTGTGATATCAATGTTCTTATCCTAAATACAAAACAGCACTATAGCAGCTACTAAAAAGAGAATTAACTCTAAGCTGAAACCAAGACAGAGGGCTAAGTCTTTGGCTCTCCTCCCGCTCAGGCCTGTAAGCAAGAAATGAGTTAGTGTTGCAAATGACAGGGAAGGAGGAAGTTGATGGAAGAAATGCCAGCCCTCATTTAGTCCTCTGGAGCAAAACATCTAGAAGTTGATACCAATTAGATGGGAAATATTGCCAGATCTAGGACCATTTTTGTGTAATGGCCTCCCAAACACCGGAGAAAGCTTCACTGAGGATTTTGTGTTACCAAGCAAAGGTGGAGCTTCTCTGAAAGACTGAAGAACAGTCTCCTTGACCCTTCCTTCTCCAGAGCTGCTAAAACTGTTAGCATCCACCTGCTCATTGTGTGCTCCAGGCCAGAACTGAAACACAGTGGCTTCCCTTTCTGAAGATGTGCTAGAAAAGTGTAGGACATGGTGTTCAGCACAGGCCCTGCCTTACTTAGTTTATCTGTTCCCCAGCAGCTGGCACTCAGCCCTCTGAGGCTGGAGTAATGTCAAATTCCTCCCGTGTCGCATGTCTTTGCAACCCTGAAACAGAAAGAGCAGAGCCGATACTTGGACAAAACCCAAACGGGAAAAAACATGGTTATCAGCCAATGATCTTAAGTAGTCTCTGAGTAATGACTATAAATCCGTGTGAATCAGGACAGAGATTTTCACATGTAGATAAGCTTTTCTGGAAAAGTCATTAGCCTGTCTGGGGCCCTCATTAAGTCTAAGATGAACCGTAGCTAACAGATGTGCTGGAGCTGGCACTTCTCACTGAAGCTGAGGCATCACATAGGAGCTGTTTGCTAGATATTTCACTTAACCTGTGTTTTTTGTGGATTGCCTCAAATTTTCAGATGCTGTAATGACTGATACTGACTGAATATCTAGTTAGAAAGGTGCTGATAAATATATTGTGGCTATCTGTACCTGAACGTTAGAGCAGACCATCCTTACGTTGATTGTATCTGAGAAAGCATCTTCATTCTCTTTGGGTAGGTCCAAATTTTCTTGCACTCCAGAAATGCACATCTTTTTTTCCTGTCACTTAGTTTAGGCAGAAGTTACTAAGCTCTTACCTACACCTGAAAGCTGGGATTTGTCTTTCAAGTGTAAATAGTGACATGCTGTTCTACTCTCATTTGTTGAATGCATTGTGAACTGTTTTATAATGGTTTGTTATGTTTCGTTCTTGTCTCTTAGCTGTGTGTGTAAAGAAGGGGAGATTGGAGATGGGAGAAGTTGCTATAAAGATCTCTTGAGTGAAATAAATCAGCATAATTCACGAGGAAGGTTTGCTAGGAAATTAAACGTCGCCAGGAAAATGTTTGGTAAATGTCTTTCGAGTTTGTTTGGGGAATGAAGCAAACATGGGGACAAGAGTGTGTCAGAAAAGGCTGAAAGCCTTTCAGCATAATAAACATGTTTCACAGCGTATGACCATGGGCTGCAAAATTAAACACATCACATCTTTGAACTCCTCTTACCAGTTCTGGATTGTGAATTGAGGAGACTGTTGCAGAGAGCACTATGGATGAATATTAGGTATTTTACAGTCCTGGTAAAGGACGTACCATATCTGTAGAAGAAGGAAAACGTGCCTTGGGGGTGTGATTCAGATCCGTTTGTATCAAACCACTGGTGTGCCTCTACCTGCAGTATCTATGTTGAAGGCTCAGAAATCTTTCAGCTGTTGCTGAGTTTTCTAGCGGTGATGCTTGAGGCTGGTGTGCCATGGGTCCTTTACTTAGTAGAACATCTACTAATCCCTTAAACAGCCTCCTTGCCAACACATACATGTGAGTGGCTATTATAGAGATGAAAAGGCTTTGTTCTATGCCCCATGGTACTTTCTGAGTGAGGAATTGCTTTGCAAAGTGTAGAAGACTGTTTTAGAACCCGTGTACTGCAAGTGTGGGAAGTGATATCCACAAACGTTAATTTTTGCCTCACTAATCAAAGAAAGAATGAGAACCCTTTAGCTCATGTCAAAGCATACTTAAGTTAGATACCTTCTCCAACTCATCCTCTGCACGGTCTTCTCTATCTCCACTAACTTGACAGGAGCATAGAGATAGGGATCAAAATGCAGCTTAGCTTTTATGAATACCCCTCCCTGCTACATATCAGTGTTGCCAAAACTATTTTTTTGCATATGTTTTCCATAATGATTTGTGCTATGGGCAACTCTGCACTCCTCACTCCTGTGCAGTGGGACTTAATGCCTAATGACCTTTGTTGATGTGGACTTTGTTGATGGGCCATTGATGATTGAGTGAAGACTGACAACTGTGGGTTCATAGCAGCTTCTCAGGAAGTATTTAGTCTCAATAAATCCTGATGACACCCAAAAATTAGTTGTTTTGAGGGGAAGACAGAGGACATTTGGTGCAAGAATAAGGTAGTAAACATGTGGGAATGGAATTATTATGAATATTCTGCAAATTTCAGCAGGGATGCAAAGTGGGCCAAAGTCACCAGCAATCCTTCAGAAATCTTGTCGGCAAGTGCTTAAAACTAATAGCAACCAAGCTGGGCTGTGATAGCAATACCAAACTCCTTCTGGTTCCCTGTAAACAAGCACTAGTTATTTACATCAGGCCAAAAATGTGTAGATTGAATTGTGCTGTTAACAAGAGGAATAATTATTGCTGGAGTTAATCCATATGCCAAGTAACTACTTCATGTTGCCACTCTTTTTACAGCTTCTGGTTGCTCAGTGTTGCTGTCTAAATACGGGCCTTTCACAGTCTTTGTACCATCCCTTCTTCCGATTCATGATAGAATGGAATTTAACGTAAGTTTTCTTGGTTTTAGCAAATTTTTCCTGTCTTAGGATTCTTTCCTGCCTGAGTTCTGCAGCCTGTAAAAACTGATTGACACATGAGAAAGGAACTTTGGAAGGCAGTATTTATAGAAACAATCTCTTGGGAAGACTGTTCATTGTCTGGTTATATTGCAGTCTCATAGAGGATGTTACATCCCTCACATTATTTTTAAAATCTCTATCTCTCTCTTCAATATTGACAGAGTTTGTTTTTAATGTCAGGAAGTGTTAAGTTTTTCTGGCCATTCTTCATTTAAAGCTTGGACCTCCTGTGTGTGACTATTCTCAAAACTGTAGGTGGCTTTTCAGTACCTGAGGGTCAGGTTTTCAAAAGAGACTGAGATTTGCATGAAAATATTGGATTTTGGGCCTATGGCCCTAGGTGTGGGTATAATGTCAACTTCTTGAGAAGAGTTCATTTTATTAATGGGGACAGCAAGGATGACAGGGCTGGAGAAAATGACTATGGGAGCCAGGAGAAGAGTTTAAGAATTCTAGGCTTCAGCAAGTAGGTCCTGCAGGTCATATTATTATTTTATTTATTTTTTAATTAAATTGTATTCATTTGCAGTAGTTTTTGCACAATTAAGACCACAACCAAGCTATCCATCATTAGGATGAGAAGGTATATAAACCATTTCCCCAGGACAGAGCTAAAAATCAGTACATGAGCTACAAATGCAGCTCATGCAGTAGGGATTTTAATTGCGTGCTAGGCAAGATGCCTGTTGCGTTTCAGGTGGCAGCTAGCTTACAGCTAGTGCTCAGATATGAGAAGGTAAACGTCTTAAAAATAACTTGGACCAACCCCATTTGAACATTACATTTCCCTCTGGTTTAGAAATATCATTCCTTTGCTTGATAGGAAGGCTACCTATGCAGCAGCAGTAACTCCCATAGAGTCTGGGAGCAACTCCTAACCTACAAATGCCAGGGACATTAGCTGGCTCCTACTACCTTGTTGGGCAGCAGTTTCCACTAAAACAAGTCAGGCCCTGTGCCTAGGTCATCATGGTAACCTCTGGATTCATAGAAGATACATCAGGAAAGACCCCTGAGTTACCTAGTCTACCTGTTCCCACAAGGGTCAGTTCCACCTAAATCAGTATTGACAGAGGGTTGTCCAAAAAAACACCAGTGATGGAAAGCCCAGAAAAGAAAGGAAGAAACTAAATGTAAATTCAGCAGCTTAGACCACCTACATGGTCCAACATAAACAAAGATTGTGTATGGGGAGCTTCAGAAAGTTTTATAATATGGAGCGTGCAAGGATAGTTTTTAAATTGTCCCAGTCCAATAGGTTCCTATTTAGGGGATTCCTCTAAAGTCACTTGCAGTTTAATCAGTCTCCCTGTGTTTGAATGTGTACACAAACAGAAGCAAAAGATTTGCCACAGTGCTACTCCAGTGAACTAAAACAAAGAGGGAAGATCAATCTTGTATGCTAAGAATTTCTCTGTGTGTGTTAGCTGGGAGAAAGGTAATGTTATGGCTCTTTCAGTAAATGAGGTTTTTGAAAGAACATGTCATTTATCTTCTTTATGCGGTCTTTATTCCCCAAAGGATACCACTGCTGAGCATTTGTGCCGAATGCACATTGTTCCTGGTCTGCATTTGGGAGAAGACATGGTAAAAGCCAAGACGCTGTGGACTTTGTCAGGACATAAACTAACATTCAGTACCCAGGTAAAGGATCTGCTGAACTGAAGTCCTGGACTCCTGCTTTCATGTAGGACAGACTGAAGCTTGACTGTAGTTTCCTCGGTGCACTTTCTTAACCAGAAAACCTTTTTCTCTAATTAGCCTGTCTGCGATCAGAACAGCAAACTCCTTTGTGGAGTCCAAAGCAAAGTGATTTAAGACCAGACACCCTAAGCAACCGCTTTTCCTGTCTTGTAGACAACCAATTAGCCAGAATCTGACTCCTAAGCTTGTGAATGGTCTTTCCTTGCTCTGTATATGTATTCTGGAGAAGAGACCTTTACCTACACCATTAGCAGCTACAATATGCATGTGGCTGACCTGGAAGAAGTAGCAAAGTCTCTCTTCAGACAGAATACTTCTCCTTGGAGACTGTGTGCTTGGACACAGCCACATGCTGAATATCTTCTCTTGCAATTTCCCTTTTCCTCTCTTTCTATTTTATTTTTCTTAGTCGTCCTAGCAAAGAGTTTTTCATCATTATTTTCTGATATGGAAGGCTTTTTTTCTCTTTTCCCTTTTTCAGTTGACTCATATTTTCCAGCATTCACTGTTCTCTCTCCATCCTGCACTTTTCCTGCACGCATGCTCACAGCTGGCCAAGGGAGAGCCGTATGTTTCCTCTCTGAGGATCCAGCCTTGGCCTTTAGGTCTAGGTCGTAATACATGCACCCTGCATGCATCAAAAGGACAAAGCCATATTTGGAGCCAGGGAATCTGAACTGAGCTTGTCAATGCTGCTTTTAAATTTCTTTCCTGTTTCTTTACTCATGAGTCTTTTGATCAGGGAAGTCTGCCCTCCCCTTTCTTTGTTTCAGCCAGAATCCTCAGTGATGTGAACTGAAGTTCAGGGCAGGGAGGAGCAGTTCAAGAAATGCACGTGGTGAAATGAAAAGCACAGGGAAGTTGTGCTTGCCTGAACTTGGATTATGGCTGCAGCACCAATACCTTGATGCTTAGTTTGTAGGTCACCTTTGGAAGACCTCCATATGCCCAGCTTCCGTGTATGGTTGTATACAATAGGGAAACACCATACACGTGCCTGATAATTCAGTGATCCTGACTGGTTTGACTTTGTTATGAAAACTCCTTGTTGGCATTACGAGCCAATAAAAATTGCAGTCAAAGCTGCTGCTTCAACACCCCTTAAATTTACTTTTTCCAGCATAACTCTGGTTGTGCCTTCACCTTGCTGACCCATAGGCGGAGAGCACTGAAGGGAGCAATGATTTATAGATCTATCATGATACCACAGATATATCACAAGTAAATAACCTCCTATTATTATCCAGGCATACATGAAATCGTTTCGATATCAAGACCTGCCGGGGGAACTGTACAATATTTTGCAATCGAACCTACCAGCAGCCAATGGCGTCATGCATATCGTTAGTGCCCTAAGGAAAAAAACCGGCCCTGACAACCTCAGAAACCCACAGGTACACAGACATTCGTATTTCTTCTGTTTATGGGACAGCAGAATAACCACTTTAAAAAAATATCTATTTTCATCATTAAACTTCCAAATCAGTGAGGCTTTTTTAATGTGAAAAGGCTACTTACTTATTTTGATTTTGGTGCCTGATAAGGTCTGTTAGGCACTATTATATCAGCATGCCATTAAAAGTAGCTAATAGCACTGCATAAGCCAGATAGAGACCTCACAATGATGCTTTTACAGTGCTTTGATGAGTAGAATGTTCTACTTTCATGAGTAAATCATTCCCTTCATAGTAGATGGGCTCTTTTTCAGTTGTATCTTACATATCTTAGAGGATAAATACTGAAATATTTTATTCACATAAAAATCAAATGAAGATTTTCTTTGATAGGTCTGTACTGCATTTTGAAATTATAATCAAAAAGTTGTATTTGCGTTAACAATATGCAAAATGAGGACAAGTAATCATAGGACTTTAGCATTTTGAAGTCATGTTCTGAATTTAAGACCCTGGTCAGGGGTTTCGGGTTCAATTTCTGCTAAGCACTTTTCATTTGAGGATAATGGACTCCTTATCCTCAAATCTAAAGATGTAGATCTTTACATGCAAACCACGAACATAAACTGGCCAAGGGCATTCCAGTATGTGCTCAGACCTCGCTTCAGCCCCAGCCAGTTTTTGCCTTTTTGTATCTTCTTGCAGAAAACCATTGGTGAGATCCTTGCTTCAATGGAGATCTTCAGTAGATTTGAAACTATACTGGAGGTAAGCATGTTTGTGTCTGCCCCAGGAAAGTGTGGCATTGCTGCTGTTGCCAAGCCTGCTGCTATTTTTGTGGGATTTTTGAATAACATTTAAATACATCTCAGTGGTTTGGATTTCTTTCTGGATGCTTTTTTCTGTGTAATTTCTTGTGTATTTTGTGTAAGCAAATGTAATGGGAAAGATCAGAGTTGTCACATCTATAGGGGATCTGGCACAAGCAGCAAGCATACATGCCTCTTTCCCATCTGCTTCCCCACCTCCCCTTCCCCTCTCCCATGGACAGTATGTTCTCCAAAGCATGTTTGGTTCTTGACCACTGGCAGGACAAAGAGTGAAAGTTTCATGACTGCCCATGCCAAGCTAGATTGTAGCTACCTGGTTTTGGGGTGTAAATCTGTAAATAAAAGCAGTCCTCAGGTTAAAAACCCTTGAGGCTACTGCCCAGGATTCATTTAGTTAGTATTTTCACTAGGGGCAGACTGATTTTCCTTTTACTTCCATCAGAGTCATCTGGATCTGCCCTAGCATTGCTCACAACAGTCTTGGCCTGCCTTTTTTCTGCTCTGTGGTTGGTAGTTGCTTACAAAATTCATTAATTGCAATTGTGATTATAGACTTGATTATTTTTCTTCTCTTCAGGCAAAAAAGATACCATTTTAGTCTCTGTATATGTACTTGTGTGTTTAAAGCACGCAGGGAGTATTAGCCCAGTACTTCCTTGTTCTTATCAGCTGCATTCACATCAGTGGCTTCATTGTCCAAGCTATGTTTTTGTGGCATTTATGCCTCTGCTATTTTACATACCTATTCTTGGTGTCCACTTGCTTCTTGTATACGTTTGCTTTTCAATAGCTCTGCCTCTATTGGATTGCTCAGTTTCCTCTCCTTTCCTGATAGACCCCCCCTCACTAACTCATGTTAGATCTACGATGAAATCTTTTATTGTTTTTGCAGAACTGTGGCCTGCCTGCAATACTGGATGGACCAGGTCCCTTTACTGTATTTGTACCCAGCAATGATGGTGTGGATAAGTTGAGAGATGGAAGGCTCATTTATCTTTTCACAGAGGTTAGAGCTCACAGTACTTTAAGACATCCTGAGCTAACTGTGTTGCAGTAGGGTGTGCTGGAAAGGCTTGTGCAATGTATCTGATCATTGCTGAAAGTTGGTCTTCCTGGAGAAGGCAGTGTCTCTGTTTCCGTAATGCTTTGGGAGAGAAGTGAATGCTGGTGGAACCTGCAATGAGAAATATGGTTAGCCAGATTGTTTAAATCTGATATTTGCCTTTCTTTCCTCACCCCAGCTTTGGGTAGGGGAAGATGAAGGAACTTATTCACCAAGTGAATTCACTGCTATAGTACATTGGCATTGTCAGTCATTGGTTAAAAAAAATGTAGTTGCCTCCTCTTACTTCTGAGCATTGAAGGGGTATCTCATTTTTATGTTCTCTTCTTTCCTTAGGGCAAAAATAAGCTTCAGGAACTTGTGAAACATCATATCTATGCTTCAGCAGCGGTAAGGCAGCTCTAATTCTAGATAATTGGGGTCCTTCGCCCAGCATGTTATCAACGGTGGTGTTTGGCATTGAGGTTGAAGTGTCGATGACTTCAACTGCAACTTCTTGGACTTCCCTAGGAGTAGTAGAGATGTGATTCAGGAAAATGCTCTCTTGTTGTCACTTTAATTTGCTAAACTGTTAATTAGGAGTGTACCTTAATTATGAACTCTCCAGCCTACAGTTTCCCTGAAACACTAATAGCAGCAACACAAAAGTTATAGCCAAGTGAAGAACTGGTCCAAACTCCCTGCTCCTTTTCCTCTCTCCCTGGGCTCCACTTGTGGCTAAAGTTAGAGATGGAGAAGTGGTGCGAGTGAGCCTGGGATCTGACCTGGTACTGCCAATTCTTGCACCAACATTGCTGTGTACTATAATGGCAGGGTGAATAAAGTCAATACAGTGCATCAACAAGACATTTTCCCTTCTACAATAAACCAGAGAAATGTTTAAAGTTAGACACAAAACCTCTGGGGGAAGTGAATACTCAAGCATTATGGTACAATGTCATGTCCTTCATTAAGAAATATCAATATTATTCCCATTCTTTACTGAGAAGCAAATATCAGTCCTTGTCATTTTCCTAATTCCAATAGAGAAAATGAGCAACACTTTGTCAAAACAGCAAAACATATTTTTGCTTGCAATTGAAGAGTGATAACATGGTAATAAGCTGAGCTACTTTTTAATAACACATTGGACACCAAAGTAACAACTGTGTTGGTTCTCAGAACTTCTCACTTCTCAGACCATTAACTTTCTCAGTACCGTAGCTGAGATTTACATTTTTTCTGCCTTTAGAAATAAGCTTATTTATTAAGTCAAAATATGTTCTGTATTATGCTTCTGGCTGAGCTTTCATTGTTTATTGAATATGTTCTGGAAAATCCCCTTATTAGTCTGACCCTATTTGCAGCTGTATTAGTAAAAGAGACTGTTAGTGAGACTTATTTCAGCTGTGCTGGACTCTTACACAAGGAATGAAACCCAAGGCTGCCGCCGCCGGCACCACTGTGTTTGTGCTATTGCAAACAATTCACACAAAGTCCTGGATTTCCCTCTGACCGATTGCTTGTGTTTAAGGTATTTCATGAAATGTAAATGTTGGTCCAGTCTCCTTTAGAAAGTTTTTTAAGTGGCTAGAATCATGGAAGGATTCTGTAAGCTGTACTGAAATGATGCTGCTTTTTCATGGTACTGTCCCCTTGTGCTATTTCAGGTGACTGTAGAGAAACTGATGATCATGCCACACATTGTTACTATGGCTAACCAGATACTTACCATCAACATCAGTGAAGATGTAAGTATGAATCAAAACCCTTTTGGTCAAACCCTCCTGTGCTAGGAGAAAGTCTGGATGTGGTTCTGAACAATGCGGTTTCAGCCCATCTCTGCCTCCTCCTCTGCTTAAAAAACTAGACTTAAATGAGGTCATTGACTTAGTTTGCTTCTTATCCAACCTGTGACTCCACTACAAGGCTTGATGATTTGTGCAGTTGCACTTGATGTTGTGTACCGTCTGCTTCCTGCATTTGCTTTATGTAGTTGATAGAGTTTAATGGGCTAAAACACAGATAAATTATTTGTGTTTCTGCCTCAGGGAAGAATTCTGATGGATGAATCAGGGATTCCCTTAAACATGCGAGACATTGTGGCGTCAAATGGTATTATTCATACCTTGGATGGCATCTTCATCCCTCCCTCAATAATTCCCATTTTGCCTCACAGATGCAATGAAGAGCAACATAAAATTGTGCTGGTAAGTCAGCTTCTCCCATTCTCACACTAGTGGTTGTTGTAGACCCCACACTCGCCTGGAGGGACAAAAGCAGGCTGTGTAAATTGTATTTGGGAAATGTATTCTCTCTGAGGGGTCCTCTGATGTGAACTTAGGCAGTATCAGCACTGTCAGTATTTCTTCTGCTGGCACTTGGCACTGCTTTGCTGGCAATCAGCAAATGTTCCTTGCAGGTGGTTGTTCTTTCCTTGCACCCGTCCTACCTTTGATTCAGAAGTACATTTGCCTTTTCATAAGGCCTTATACAATCTTCTTCACATAATAATTGCTAACTCAGCTGACAATGCTTTGTTCTCATCGTTGTCAGCATTGGTGTTCTGTAGTCTGGACGGAAAGCAGTCATTCAGTAGCAGGAGTTACAAATGCTGTGTGATATTCTCACCTGAATAGTTTTGTATACCTTATTTTAGGTGCTTGGTCTCCAGTTTGATCATTGGTAGGTTACTGAAGGAAGAAGATGAGGCTCTGAGTAGGCAAGAAGTACCTGATTTGGAGAGACACAGTTAATCCCAAGTGGCCAGAGGGTCCACATAACTTGCTGATTTAGTGAGGCCTGCTGCATGGATGCCCAAAGTGTTTTCCAGCAGACCTGCATGTTTGGTGGCTGATAGACTCACAGGGTGGAGACAGACCCCATCTTGCAGTCAGGTGCAAGCATCTCCTCGGGACAAAGGAGTCATTTTATTTAAGTAGTAAACTTACCCCCTTTTGGAGTATAGAAACTCCCTCCTAGGAATGTTTCTGATACATGTCATGATGTTTTGGATATATACTGGGAGCAGTAGCTCTGTAGCATTCTTGGCATGGGAAATTGGTTCCTTTGAGAAGATTAAGTTTTCCCCTTTTGTTTTCTTAACAGGGCTCTTGTGTGGATTGTGAGGCCCTCAACAACAGCATTTGCCCACCGGGCAGCAGAGAAATGGTAAATATTTGTGGTTGGTTTGGTAGTTTGTTCTTTGCACGATGACATATAGATACACTGGTAGTTTCTAACGCAAGCCACTTTCAAATAAGTAGAGAGCAGGAAAGGCAACCAGTAGAGAGGCTTGTTAGAGGATACGTACTCCCCACATATCTGTGTTCTGTGATCCCAGACTGTCACCCACTAACTGTTTTGTGCTATTTCTTATTCTGAAGTCTGTTTGCTGAATCAATGGAGAGAGCTGTGAGACAGTCTGGGCTAAATGCAATTGTCGACTTGCAGATTTAGCGCTTCTGCTGTGCCTCAGGCAGAGCTTTCCTGCTCTACATGCTGAGTCTGCCAGCTCCTCCAGACTGCTAGAACCAAGCCTGATCCCACTAGTACCATCCAGTACTACCACTGCCTGTATCATGGCCGGAGAATCACAACAAGCTTTCTGCACTGTGGAGGACGAGAAACAATTTGTTCTTGGCCTGTGCTCCCTGTTGATTCAGAGATGAGCAGAACTAGCTGAAGGTGGAGTAAGGAGGAGACTGTGTGCTGGTGTTTGAGTTATCCCACACTGAGTTTAGCAGAACAGCAAGTTCCAGGAAATCTTCATGTGAAGGCCAGGCCCAAGATGTTGTTTGTGAAAGCCAGAAAGGTGTTTGCCACTGTTAACTGTTGGGTTTCTTCTGAGAGATCTCATTTTCAGGAGAACTTGCTGATGCAGTCTCAGCATGAATGTCTGAAGTAGAGCTCTGCAAAATTGCTAGTCACTCGTTTTCCTCTCTGACTGAGGCAGGTGAAGCCAGAATCATCTGGGACCCAATTCTGCCTGTGTCTAACTCCATGGCAGGTCACTGAGCATTGTTCCAAAATTATTTGCAGTCCTTTCCCCTCTCTCTCACTCTGTCAGTCTCACCTCCCTCCCTCTTTTTCCTTCCCTCCCTCTGTCCCTCCCTCCCTCATTCTCTCTCTTACCCTCTGCCCCACTCTCTTTACCTCCTGCCTTCCCCCCGCTTCTCTTTCCTTCCCTCTTTCTTATCCTCTATTTCTACCCCCCCGGCCCTTTTCTCCCCCTTGTCTCCTCTCCCTCCCTTCCTTCCCCTCTCTCCCTACCTGTCCCCCTACTCTCTCCCTTATCATAGACACTATTATTAGAACAAAAGGGCAGCACCTTGGCTCAGACTTGGGGACTGCTGGGAGCAAGAGGAAGCCACCATGTGCCTTCTTTCATGATCAGCATGCCGTAGGGGTATCTTGTTCACCCTGGCTCCTCTATGAACTTCCTCAGCTCAGAGACAGGCATAGTTGCTCTCTGCAGCAAAAAGAGCAGAGGGGAAGGTTACAGTGCTGATGACTTGTTTTATTTGTGCAGGAACCAACGCTCTTACCAAAAGAATGTGTCTACATTCATGATCCACAAGGCCTGAATGTCCTGAAGAAGGGGTGCGCCAGGTACTGCAATCAAACTGTCACGGTGAGTGTGATGGAAGACCACATTCCCTTTGAAAGGAGCTCAGCTTTGCTCTTCCTCATTCATCAGGAAGAGCTCTGACTCCTTGAGCTGAGAGAGGGCTGGATGAGAGCAAAAGGAAAGTTGTCCTGTGCAAAGGGCTGTCCCCAGAACCATCACATGAACTGGCTATCTGCTTTTTCTCTGGCAAACAGAGAGAACACAGGGTCCCAGCCTGCTGCAAATGTTAGAAAGCAGTTCAGTTAAACCTGAGTACAATAAATAAACAAAATAAAGCACACCAGTTGCGACCAGCCAAGCTGGAGGAAGCATGGAACAAGTGGTGCAGTGTTAGCTGTGGCACGTTTTCCCTGAGAGTGCCCTGGTTTCAGCATTTCTCCCAAAGGAAGCTGAGCACAGGGAAAGCGCTGTAAGCTGTGAAGTGATTGCATCCTGTTTATGAAACATTGTCAGATGGTTCGGGAAAGTCGCTCTTAGTGAGTTTATGGACCTCACATTTGTCTGCAGCTCCTGAGCTCTCACAGTGCCAACTAGATAGAATGATTTGTGAGTGTCTGCTATAGGATATAGTAGGAGTGAGTGGTCCAGCACTATTAAAGAAATAAAAGCTCATAGAAAACATGGACCCTATTCACTGAAATCAGAGAGAGAGCAAAAAATAGTGATTTATTCTGAGAAGAATAGGTTGGGAGCAGAAAGAGGGGTATTGTTGAAAAATTATTTAAGTGCAGCAGCTCTTAGAAACACAGATGCCAAATGAGACAGTCCGTTTCAGTCCATGACGGGGAGAAGTACCAGAATTTCAGAATTGTGAGGGCGAGAGGACTCCAGGCAATTTGTGTTTATCACATCATACTTTACTGATTTTGCTTTTGTTTCAGAAACCTGGATGCTGCAAAGGATTCTTTGGTCCAGACTGCATGCCGTGCCCAGGGGGATTTTCCAGTCCGTGTTATGGCCGGGGAAATGTAAGTATTGAATATCCTGCTGTGTTGCAATGAGCAGTTGAGACAGGGTGGTTAGAGAGTGTAGTTGTACAATTCAGAGTTTTTGCTCCAGGGCTAAGCTTTCAGTGGTGGCAGCAGAAGATCCAGGGAGAATGGCATGTATTCATCAGAGGGTTTTCTGTCTTGAGCTCTAATGTGAATCATGTCATGGCTGTTGGGGACAGCTCTGGCTGTGTGGAAGTTTGTATTACTACCACCATTCTTCAAAGTCCTGGGTTTTACTGCAAGTGTCAAAGTGCCTTTGATTGATATTAACACATTAGCTTTGCCTACATTCCTTGAGTTTCAGTCACTTTGGTTTTCTTTTTCTTTTCCTTCCAGTGCAGCGATGGCATAGAAGGGAATGGCAACTGTCACTGCTTTGAAGGTTTCAAAGGAATAGCCTGCCACATCTGTTCAAACCCCAACAAGCATGGCGAGAACTGTGACCAAGGTTGGTAATTCTGATGGAGAGACTAGAGGAATATGTGGCGCAAAGATACAGTGCAGGTTCATGTATCCTGGATTCCCTTCTGGCAAGACCAGCGTCACAAAGAAGTGACGGACATGTCATCATGGGTATCCCTTCAAACAACAGTGGAGAAAACATGGCTGGTATGACATTGGTGATGGGGGTCTTGGAAGCATCAGCCAAATGTAGGTGTGGGACTTTGATTTAGATCTCTCCTGCTAGGAAGGAAAGGACAGTTGACAAGAACCTTGAGCTTGATAGCCTAAATTTGAGCCTGTCCTTACAGCCCATAAAAAACATGGACCCAGGCAGTCACAGGATCTGTTCCCTGGCCAGGTTTTGAGTTCTGATGCATGTGTCTCAGCAGATGTCCCTCTGTCAAGAACAAATGGGATGATCATTTGGTGTCACAAGAGGTTGTGAAGGACAGTTGGGAATCTACTAATCCGCTGTGGTGGATTCTGCACTTTGGTAGTTACTGATCTTACTCCATGTACTTGACAGATTGTGGCTGCATCCATGGTGTCTGTGACAACAGGCCTGGCAGTGGCGGTGTGTGTCAGTCCTGGTCCTGTAAGGAAGGCTATACCGGGAAATTCTGTGACAAGACATCCAAGAACTGTGGCCCGACTGGGCTGTCCCAGTACTGCCACCAGAATGCTGTCTGCAGCCTCAATGACACAGCAAGGTCAGTCTTTCTGGCATGGACATTCAGGTGGGCACATTGTCATTGTACAGGCACACAGCAGCTGTGAGGCTGCCAACCCCCTAATTGTGTATATACGTCTGTGTACTTGTTGCACAGGATTGTTTGAGCAATGCAGCCAACCTGCTAGAAATCAAAGTCAGGTTCTTGCTCGCTTGAGAGGCTCAAACTGCCTTTTTGCTCTCTGCTGGCTTTCAGAAGGGGCTGCTCTATCTGTGTCCCTTTTGTGCTTATACGTTTAAGGTGCATCTGCATGGATGGATACGAAGGGGATGGGTTTTCCTGCCAGCCCATCGACCTGTGCAGTCAGCCAGAACGAGGAGGCTGTTCGCAGAATGTAAGTAGGGTCAGACTGTCGAAGCGTGGAGAAGCAGCTCCTATCAATAGAGCAGGGATCCAGGGCTCTTAGGACTGTTACAGATTTTTGCGTGCTGACTTTCCCTGGCTGTAAGATGGGATGGAGTAACAGATACCTTGACGCAGTTGTCAGAAGGATGTCAATCATTTGGTGCCAAACTATGACACCCTAGAGAAGGTTTGATTGGTCTGCACGGATATTTTGGCAGCCACAGAGATTGACTGCACAGATAAGTTTTGTTTCGTACTGATTTTCCCCTCAAGCTCTTCTAATGTGTATTAGTTTCTCTGTTGCTGTGTTCAAGCTGTAGCTTAGCTGTAAGCTCCAGCTCATATTTCTTGTAACCGTCAACACTACATAGTGATCCCTAGTAAAGAACTGTGGTACTTTACGACAGAAATGACTGCCAAATGGTCTGACCTCATCATAATTTAGACCCCTTAGTGAGAGGAACACATTGTGCCATGTAGAAGGAAATAGGATGGCACTGGGTACAAAGTTGGTCGTTCCTGAGAGGGATCTGTCCTCCATCATTGATTCCATCCCACATGTCCAGGCAGGAGATTGTGCTCCTCTTCTTCAGGGAATATTTCTTCTGTAATGGAAGAGCTTTTCAGGATGGTAAGGAATGCCCTGGGAGTTCTGAGCCACCCTAGACACAAGTGGCTGTCTCTCTGAAAATGCAAAATGTTTCCAGAATTACTTTATTGTAAAGTTGTCTAGGACTTTTCCAGAGAAGATTCTTCCACCCCCCCAGTGCTGGCATCAGAGTTGATCATTCAGAAACTTTCCTTAGTCTATCGAAGGAGATCTGTTGCTGTATTTGCACCACACTCCCTCCCTTCTTCTGCTGACTGTAATTCTTTTTCTCCCCCTTCTCCTGGAGGCCCTGTGCACCAGTACAGGCCCCGGCACTGCCACCTGCCAGTGCAACACAGGCTGGACTGGGGACGGAAAGGCCTGTGTGGCTATAGACAACTGCATGCTGGAGAGCAGAGGGAACTGTCACATCAACGCCGACTGCGTTTATATCGGCCCTGGCCAGGTATGATCAATGCTATTCAGTCTGATGGTGGACTTAACATTTCCTAAGCCGCTCTGAGATTGCCAGAAGTAGAAACTGGGCTGGTCAGCAGCAAAGCCTGCTTGTCTGCTGACAGAAACACTGGCTGCAGCTAAAACCACACAGTGTGCTTGTGTGATGTGAGATGCACTGATGTGTTTGAGGCTGCTGCTCTACGCTGAAACTTTTATGCAGCAAAGGAAAGAGACTATGCTCCATAATATGGATCGGCATAAGGCATCAGTTGCTGTGACTCCCTTGTTGCCAGATCACAGCATTGTCTCTGGGCAATGCTAAAATACACAGAAAAGAATGTGCAGCTGTTCAGATAGTCCATGGAGGGAGCTGGGCTGGCAGTCGGGCATCTTGAGATAGGAGGAAGGCACGCAGGAGAGGTGGCTTCTCAGGGTGCTGCTTCTCAAAGTGCTTCTCCCCACTGAGCCAGGGGAGCATTGAACAATGTGCTGAGAAAAGGTGCCAAATCTTTAGCGATTTTAGTCAGGCGAGATGTGCCAGTGCTCTCCTAACTATCTTAAAAGCAGGAAGCTTTGAAATTAACCCCTCTTCTGCCATTCACTAAGTCTGTGTCATTCCCTGAAAAGCTGGAAATAAAGATGGAAACCATCCTCTTAAAGTGACCCTCCCACAGCCAAGCAGTGCAAGGGATCAGTGCTCTTGAGTAATCGGGCAGCATGTGTGCTGTGATAGAGGATGGTGCCTTGCTGAGGAAATAGCTCCACATTTCTAGGTCTTGAGGGACTGGGAAGAAAACTGGGGAAAAATTAATTAAGAGTAGGTTTTGCTGCCTTAGGCCTTTTTTTGGGTAGCAAATGAGGATGCTCTGATAGGTCTATAAAATTGAAATGTCTCTTTCTTGCAGAGCGAGTGTGTCTGCAAGAGGGGTTATGCTGGTGATGGCCACAACTGTGATGCAATCAACCCATGCCTAATGGACAACGGTGGCTGCCATGACTTGGTGAGTAGCTGAAGTGCTGTCCCAAGGCTGGCGTGGCAGTGGAGGTTCCTCTGCTCCTTGACAGAGGTTTTTCAGCTACGGCATAGGGAGAATTGCAAGCATTTACGTTACGTCATCTTATTGGCATACCACTGAGGTGTTATAAAGATTTAATCTCTGATTTACCCAGGCAGATCCTCTGATTTTTGTGAGCTCACACAACCAAAACCATCACCTAGGCTTTGCTGCATGAGGTATAAATTCAGTGCCACCATAAAGGCAACAGGAGGAAGGTGCTTCTGTGTGCTCCTCTAGCCCAGGCCATGGGAGGCCAGAATTCAATTCATAGATAGGTGTAACACTGCATAACCCGTGTTTGCTCTCTAATTTCTTCTTTCCTTGTATTTTCAGGCTACGTGTGTACCTCTTGGAGGAGGAGAGAGATCCTGCGCTTGCCCTCAAGGCTACATGGGGGATGGCATAACATGCTATGGGGACATTCTAAAAGTGAGTAAAAAGTAAATGTCTGAGGTTTTCTTGACAGTGAAGTGAAATGGCTCTGCTCTTACTTTCCTTTTCTGTTACCTTAGTCGACTCTTCTCCCAGCACCAGCCTGACAGCACAGCACATGTGTGTGCCCAAACAGAGATAGAACTGATGCCAAGGCCAATGTATTTGTGAAACCATTGGCAATAATTTCTAAGCTGCTTCACCCCTGTCTGTCCTGTGCAATGAGTCATCTTTTTTTTGTTGTTGTTTGAAAAGTTTTTCAGGTCAGAGCTGATAGGCCCATTTTCTGTCATTAGAAATATCAAAGGCCATTGTGGATTCAATCCCTGTCCCTGGTAAACATGAGCAATTGCAGATGAATTAAAAAGAGTTTGTTTATTTTGGAATATATTTTTCTGAATGGCTGGAGTGTGGTTTTAGGAGTGCCCATCCCTCCCCATGATACACAGTGCCTGTAATGGCTGTAAGGTGAGAGAGGAATGTCTAAGTCACTATTGCCAGATTTGATATTGCAAAGGTCTCCTTTCCCTGCCCCTGGGTCTCCCAGCTCTGCAACCCCAGTGCTCAGCAGGGGTAACCCTTCTCTTGTTTCTATTTGAAAGGAGTTGGCCAGGAATTCCCACTTTGCAGGTTTCTACGACTGGCTTAAGGTAAGAACAACCATGGGATGCCTGCATGGTTAAGTTGGGTAGAAGTAAAGTCTCTATGAATACTGCTGCTAGAGAAAGAGCAACTCCATTTATCTTTTTCATTAGAGAAAAACAAAACAACAGCAAAGGAGAAATCATTACAAAGCAGACATGTAGAAAAGCCTGGAGTTTGTGATAGAATGAGGGTTGTGAGTGTGTTTTGGGGGCCTTGTTTCTAGCACTGGAGGAAGCTGGGGCTGTGTTACACTTAATTTTCATGGTTGTATCATGTGTAACTCCTGTCCATCATAAAATAGCACAGAAGGGAAAGAAAAAGGGGCAGCATTATAATAGCTATTTTTCAGAAAAGCATGCTTTGAGAAGTTAGACTGTATGTTTGTTCCTTTTCTTTACTGCTTCCCTGTCTCTGGTGCAGCAATAACAGAGACACTCTGCAGACTGCAGCAAGTCTGTGGAAGCATGCTATGATGTACGGCATGTAATTGAACTTTAGCTTACCTGCCCTGCTGCGTACATTGCTCTTGCCAGGCGTAATCATGGTCCCTCCCCCAAAACCGATGTTGAGCGTTCAGAAAGAATTTATGGATATGATTGAATGGGTTCGAAGAGTAATTGAAGTACAAAAGTAGGGCTTAAAGCATCAGGTTTTTCCTTGGCAAACAGGTGTCAACTGTTTTGGCTAAACCATCTGTGGCATTCATTGATTGCCAACAGCATTTACCTGCCACGCGCAGGAGACTCTGTTGTGCTGCTGGAGCGTATAGGCGGGATGACTGTTGATTATGTTTGCAGTGTAGATGTGGCATTGGCATGTCTTATTTGTTCATTTTTGTGCTTTGGACAACAGAAATCTCTCTTCAGCATCCCAGCAGGAACCAATGTCACTCTCCTGGTGCCATCGGAGGCAGCTATCAAAAACTTGAGCAAGACAGAGAAAGATTTCTGGTTGACCCCCTACATGCTGCCATTTTTAGTTAGGTATGAGGAGACTTCTGCCTTTGCTTTTTATTGCCAAACAACAGTAACAAAGCCATAAGCTGGATTTCTGCTTGTACAAGACCAATAAAAAGTTATCTTGAGATAAATGTAGAAGTGAGATTAAATATCTATCAGGCAAAGAATTTAGTAGGCATTTAAAACATAACAGACCACAGGCTATGGGAAGTGGCTTTATTTTTCATGTATTTGCTGAGAGACATTTTCCCTGCCGTGTAGATGCAGATGGCATCAGTATAAGTAATTCCCTCCATGATTCTCTCCACATGCTTAACTACTTCGTGTGAGAGAGATAAATGTTGGGTGGTATGGTGTTTTCTCCCTGTTATTACAAACAGTGCCCTAATATTTTCTTTACCTGCCTTTATTCCCTTCAGGGCCCACTTTCTTGAAGGCATCTTCACTGGTGAAAAGCTCAAAAAGTATGACAGGCCAGAATTACCCACCCTCAACCCCCAGACCAGATGGCAGATAAACACCAACAGCAGCGTAAGGGTTTCTTACAGAATGCACATATACCAGGATCAAATTAAACTGCTTAAGAGCTGCTCTATCCAGTGGGGAGCCTGGATGGGACTCTCATACCCTCAAACTCAGACATCTTTTAAAAATTGTACCCAGATCAATCATGTGCAACCTTGAACAAACAATATATTTGTTTTGAACTTGCTTGGCAATTTCTAATCCTTTTGCTTCTCCCATACTTTTGCAGATATTAACCATCCAGAATGCGAGCATAGTTGTCAGCGACATCCCTGCCAGCAACGGCATTATTCATGTCCTCAGTAAGGTACGTCGGTACGTGTGATACTGGGAAATGCTGCAGTTGTAGCAGCAGGTTTGTGTTGCAGCATCTGTGAATGGGCCAAGGAGAATTACACGTCTGGACAGTTAGGAAGGAATATAATGGCAAAAATATATTTGCTTATCACAAGGTCCTGACAGATGTTTCCTGTGCCAGCAGTGTTTAATGTTTAAAATATTTGTCTCTGGGATCAGCGGGAGGGGAGTTCCTCTTCTCTTGGCTGACGGAAGAAGAGTTAAGACTATTACAGAATTGTGTAAAATAAGGCCATTTCTAATTACCTTTCTTGCAAGCAGGGCAGGAGTGTAGTGTCACTTCCCCCAGAGCCCCTCGCCCAACCTTACTTATGAACTCACTTTTTCTGCAGGTGTTGTTGCCACCTTTAGGAGATATCCCACCAAGTCCTCCAGGTCTGCAGGAACAGCTTGAGACTGTTGCCTCGTTCAGTACATTCAAAGACTTGCTACAGGTAAGCAGTTGACGTGAGCATTGTTGTGGTTGTCAGAACTGTCTTTTGAGCAAGCACACAACTTACCCTCCACTGGTGGGCCAAAATTTGGACTGGCTGGTGAGAAAAGAGAGACCACTTGTTTCCTATCACTCCAGAGTGTTCTTCTAGGAAAGCTCTTTTGAGCAGCCAAAGGGTTATATACCTGCGGGTTAGATCTCTGTATCATTGGTATGTTATTACAGTGGAAGAAGACCTGTCTACTGCAGGTGCTCTCATGCTTGTACAGGACAGAGGAACCTAGAGGAAAAGGAAGGCTTGTTCATAATCAAAAAGCTGCACTTATGTTAGCCCAGGAGGGAGGAGCAAGGAATTAGATGTGTGTGACTGAGTAAAAGTTATATATCCCATTTCCAAGCATTTCCTCTAGCGTTCTTGCCTTTGTAACCTATGTGGTTTTGTTTTTATTGAGTACAAGTATAATTGCTAATGGTACTGTTTCGACATTTTTTAGCAATATCAGCTCATTGGAAAAATTGAGTCCTCTGAAAAATATACAGTTTTTGTTCCTGGAAATAATTCCATCGAGGAGTACTGCCATGCTGCCAATGTGACACAGTTGGTAAGCTCACTGCTTGCTTACAGTTTGAATATATATGGTGGTAAGTGCAGGGACATGTACACTGTCAGATCATAAACTTGAGTTCAGTGGATTTGAGCATGGAGAGAGAAGCATATCTGATGCTAAAATCTAGGAGAAATGTGGCAGAGAAAAATGAGAGGGTTTCCTGGGGTGTTGCAGTGGGATCTGAAAAGAATATTTGGACTCCAGATGCAAATTTCTGAGTAGATTTGAATGTGGATAGTTGCCACAAAATGTTCCCCTTTCTGGTTGGCTGCAGCATATCTGTGGCAATTTTGAACCCTTTGAAAGGTTCCAAAAAACATTTATGACTTCATCCAGTTACAGAGTCATCAGGTGTGATCAGTCATCTGTGATAGGGCATTACTAAGCATTGTGGGCTTAATTAGCTGCTACAGATTGCTCAGGAACTCTTCTCATGCCATACCTTTGACTGAATTGTAGTCTAAGAAGTCAAGAGTCCTAACGTTTGGGTTTTTTGTGGATTTAGGATAATGAGACAGTGCAGTACCACATTGTACTGGGAGAGAAGCTCTTGCCTGCGGACTTGAGAAGTGGAATCCATAAGAACAGCATGTTAGGGCTCTCCTACTGGCTAATGTTTTATCAAAACAGCACCCAGGTAAGGAGGGAAGACTGTTTTGCCACTTGAGGATCTGGCTAGACCTATCACTGTCTAAGACTGGTGGCTGGATACACCCATGTCTGTTTTGGACACCCTTACAGTTTGTGTGCTGTGGCTGTCTGACAGCTGTCAAGCAATCCATGCAAAAGGAGTTGAAGGTTGTCGTCTCAGCCATTTCCTTCTCCTTTGCAGAAGTTTGTCAATAATATTCCTTTGGATGGAAAATTTCTTGAGACGAAGAATGGCATGTTGATCGGGGTTTCACAGGTCCTCCAGATACAGAAGAATCGTTGCACTGCCAATACCACCACCATACAAAAGGTAATGATGATTGCCAAGGAGCCGACCACCGTTTCACAGGGTTTCTCCACCTGCTGAACCAAACTGATGAATAGCAGAAGACCTACCTTGTCTCTTCCATATGGATGTGACAGTAGCTTGTGATCTGACCCCAGAGGAGCCTCATGTGAAATGGGACATCATGGAGATGATGTCTTGGCACTTCCTAGCCTCCGACTCTGTACTTCTAATGCAGCAGATCTGCAGCTCTGGCGCTGTATGTAGCTCCCGTGCCAATCACGTTCAGTTCACTTGCCGGGACTCTCTCATAGTACCAACCATGGGGCAGGCTGGTGCAGGGTCTGCCAGATACTCAGCTGTACAAGGAGAATCCAGCCCGATCCTTGCATGGCGTGACCACAAGCTCCCCTAGGAAATGCTGTGGTCTGTCTAGGAGTCATGGCCCAAGTCCAGCCTGCATGTATCTTGTGGCTCTTGGCCATCTGAAGATTGCAGGGGCAGAGTGAGGCAGGCCTGCCCTCTTACAGACCAGAAAAAAAGTATTTGCAACCTTGCATGAAGGAACTCCAGGCCTGCAGGAAGCCCTATCCCAGCTCAGAGACTCAGAAGAGGTGTAATATGGGATCTCTTCTGGTTTGTTTTGTGGTACAGTCTCTGGAGTGCAGAAATAAGACCTTGTGTACACCACTGGAGTGCAGAAATAAGACCTTGTGTGAAGCCTTTGATAGCACCCAGGACCTCATGGTCATGCATCATGATTTTTCTTCTTTTGGTGTTTTGAGCCACGGAGATAAATACATCTTTGTCTTTGTCCGAGCCAGCAGCCTGTACAGCACCATTTGTAATTCAAGATTAGTTTCTTGATGTCACGTGGGTAGAGGGCACACATGTGACTTGTCCTGTTCTCTGTGCCCTAGTCAAGATGCGGCAAGTGTGAGAAGGGGATCAAGTGTCCTCCTGGATCAGTTCTTGTGGTGAGTCTCTGATTCATGTGACATCTCACGGACTGTTTGCAGATAATGCTTTGATGTCCTTTTCTTGCTCTATAGATGTCATCTTGATACCTGAAAAAATTGTGCCCTTGAATCCTCTGTGGCTTATTCATTAGCAGGGTTTGTAAGAGAAAGCAGCCACCAAGGGAGGTTTATGCAGAAAAAGCAGAAACGCGAACCACAAAGCTCCTTACAGAGCTGGAATCAGGCTATGCCTGAATTTCAGGAGCTCTTTAGAGCGTGCAGTGTGGGGAGTTTCCCCCCTTAGGGAGGGAAAAAAGATGTCTTTTTTGATCTATTCTCTTTTGACATTGTCTTTAAGGAAAGCCAGTTTAGGGGTGCCAATAGCAATTTCCCAGCCTGGACTGTTGATTTATTCACACAGATGGGCTGGTTGTGCCTGCAGCTTGTTTGTGAGTGAATGACAAATGTTTCCAGAGAGGAAAACAACTAAACATTTCATCTCCATGCTGGCTATGAATTGCCTGCCAGCCACATCTGGCTTCTTAGGTTTCATTACTTTATGCCAAAAATTTTCCAATTACATTTTCTCAGTATTTGTACTGACATGCATACCATGAATTTGGCAGGTAACAAAATAGACAATGTGTAGTGACCTCACATCTAGAGATGCCTAGATGTGAGGTCTCAGCTCTGGGAAGTCCAAATTTTTAGGGCTGTTCCTGTAGCATAAAAAACATTATTCCTCTGTTAGACAAGAACACCGCCATATGCACCAAAATGTACAATCTTTCTAAATATTGTAATATCTTCTGTCTGTATCTATGTTAATTATATCTGCAGGAATTACCAGGCAGCAAGAATCTTGCTCGCTGTGAATTACGCTCTGGGGATACAGGAATACTTGGCTGCCATTTCACCTGTGCAAAAGTTTCTCTGGTAAGAGAAGATTTGTTTTGACAAAAGCAAGATGGGTATTAGAAATACAGCCATGAAAATCCAGCCTGTGCTGAAGTTGTGGCTGCATTTGTGCCATTGTGTAGCTGAGACTGGTCTGGTCTGGGAGTCGCTCTCCATCCTGGAGATAGAGGGCACGGGAGAAAAAAACCCAAACCTGCGGAAATGTCTGCACAGTGATGGATTGTGGTCTGCTGCTTTGGTATTGTTGCTTTGGGTTTTGTCCTGCAGAGGAAGAGAAGGAGTTGAATGTTTGTAGTCTGGTTTCCTAAGGAAATGAGGCATGAATGATGGTATTTTGCTTGTGCATGTGCCTTCCCGAATAACTGATGACTAATTGGAGCCAAACTAAAGGGAGGAGCAGATGGTCTCACAACTATTATGGCCCCCACCAGCTTTATGAAAATGTGTAGCTGGGAGAAAACACTTGAAAAGGAAATGGTAAAAGAAAGACTTGTGTGAATTTGACCCCTTATAGTTATTGAAGCATCTCCCTGGGAAGTTTAGTGGGAATGGGAGTTTGAGGAGAAGGGAGAGAGAGAGTTGGACATGAAGTACTCATGTGCGGAGCTTCAGTCAGCATTTTGTACCTCACTGGGCACTCCTGTATGCCTGTACCTCACTGGGCACTCCTGTGTGCCTTTGTTGGATGATGTTTCTCCTCATCTGTACTGCCCGACTTGGTCCCATCATGGTTGCCTCCCTCCATGTGTAGATGCAGAAAGAAATGAGAGCAGTTAAATCAGGCTTATGAACCAAATCACTGTCTGGCAGTGTCCTGCCCAACAGTCTCTCACTAGTGGGACATGGGCAGGAGATAGGCTGGATGAGCACAGCACTGAACATTTGCTGTGTTACTCACCAAACAGCCATTGTTCAAGTGGCAGTGCAGAGCTTTACGTGAGGCTCTGGACAACAGAGCACCCCATTTTGGGGGCTCACTCCATCCTACCTGTGCACATCTGGTCCTTTCACGCATTGTCAGAAGTGATGGCTATTGCATCATTAAAGGAATAGAGAAGCTTCCACAATAAATCTGTACCTTGCCTGTGCTGCACAAGACGGCTCATCCCAACCTGTTCTTGTTGGTTCCCCAGAGGTCTGTCTGCTGCCCTGGCTACTACGGACACATGTGTGAGATGTGCCCAGGGAAGCCAGGCCAGTGGTGCTCCGGGAATGGGGAATGCCAGGATGGCATCGAGGGCAGTGGAGAGTGCCAATGCCTGGAGGGTTTCCATGGCACTGCCTGTGAAATGTGTGAAGTGGGCCGATATGGAGCTGACTGCAAATCAGGTGACACCAATGGCTATTGCACTTTGGGTCTGGATCTACTGTCCTGCTTGCAAGGGGAGAAAAATGGCCATGTCTCAGCTCTCAGGAGGGGTGGTGGGAGGGAGAAAATGTCCCAAGACCTCTGAGACAGGTGAACGACTGCCAGGTCGCTGAGAGAGGAACGGTGGCAGTGAGCGTTTGTGGTCAGCCAGAGGAGTGGCCCCATTTTTCATCTTCAAACCAAGGCACGACCAGCTGTGCTATGCCGCTCATCCTGCTGCCTCTCAAACTGTGGACAGTAGAGGTGGGTGGTCTGTTTCTGGGCTTTTTGGCCTAGTAGTGAGGGAACGAGAGCCAATACTCCTGTGACATTTTCTTTATGGCAGCTTGATGGTTTGGATTAGGAACAGACCAGCCAGTGAAATGGCAGTGAGACTCTGCTTGTGAGACCTGGTTGGTCTGACAGTGATGAGCGTTTATATTTCCCCTACAGAATGTGCCTGCGACAACGGCATATGTAACGATGGACTGCAAGGGGATGGGAGCTGCAACTGTTTCCCGGGATGGAAGGGCCCTACCTGCCAAGAAAGTATGTGAGCGTGAAGGAGCCCATGGTGTAATATTGCCTTTTTGGCAGAGAAGTGTTAGCTGAGCAAGGTGACCACAATTGGATGTGCTTTGCATCCCCTCAAAAGCTTATCAGACTGTGCTAGCTCATTCCTGCACACAAGCTAAATTTGTGGTGTGACTTCCCCAACAGCACATGAGCCCTGGAGTTACTTGGGTGAAATTCACACAGGGAAAAGTGTATCACCCCTTTCTGTCCCCACTGAGATTTGAGGCACCTCAAGAAGAGCCCCTTGCCCTGGGAGAGAGATGGAAGCTCCCAGCCACATTAGGTTGACCAGGACTCCTGTTAGTTGCCTAAGAAGGTGGCAGGGCTTGATTTGAAGCCTCCAAAGGGCCCTAGTGTGTCTGCTGAGTTGCTTTTTCTGCTCACAGATTGATTTAGGTGAGCTCAGGTCATGGTCTGCAGTTCTCAATGAATCTGTCTTTGTGTGTCAAAGTAATATGTTGAAGATGGTTGTTCCTGGGATTTGGGATTATGATTACCATTGGGGTGGGGGAGAACCTGAGCTCCTAAATACTTTGAGATTTTAAAGGCTTGCACACAAAGATTGAGTTGTGAAGTAGCGAAATCAAATGTTTTGGGGCATTTAGAAATGGAAATTGAGTGGAGCTGTCCTATCTAGTGTAAACGTAAAGCGTGAAACAAGTTCATCTTTTTGCTTCAATGGGGCAAAGCCAAATGATCCTGTATGTCTGGATTAATGAGGTTTCCGTCCTTGTTTCATTCCTAGCAATGTGGAGATCATGCAGGTAGGATCAAATTGAACCCTCAGCTCAGACAGAGAACATCGAATTCACTCCATTGCAAAGTGCCAAAACATAAATCCCATGAGGTTTTCCTGCTGCCACGTAGGACATGAGAGCTAGCATAACTGCTGGTGTGTCCCATCACCAGTCCGGGCACCACAAGCGTGGCAGTGAGGCTGTTTGCAGCGTCCTTTACTCTAGATGGCAGAAATGCCTCCAGCAAGTGCTAAATTGAAAAATGCCAAGTCATGTTTGTGGTTTCTTTTACAGGAATTGAGATTGACTTATGCAATAACACCTGTCATCAAATGGCCAAGTAAGTACAGACAAGGGGCTGGGTCATTCTGGGAAAGCCATGTGTGTTTGTGTGTGTTTTACATAGAGGTGATTCTGTGTTTAGGGCGTCGCAGAGGGCTGGGAGGAGTTGCTTGCTCATTAAAGGTGCATAAATGTCACTTCCATCCTGGGAACTCTCTTTGGTACTAAGCCACATCCACTTTCCCCAAGGATTTTGTCTGTCTGACCATAAATTATTTTCAAGTTCCTTCTGCATGTGTGGATGGGAGAAAGCAGAGACTCCAAGGTACTTCAGGTCTGGCCTTATTTGTGGAGAAAATCAAACAGCCATTTACAAGCCCTTTCTGCCTTGCCAGTCTCCACCAAGGAGTTAAATAGGCTGATGGGCCGTGATGACTCCCTCTTGCTGCCTTCTCCATCCATTATCTGATCTCTTATTTTGTGGTACCGGGACCCAGTCATCTCCATTGCACCATGCAGAAGCACATGGTCATGGTTAAGGTGCGCAGTGCGAGGTGTGAAGCCTGTGCCTGGACGCCAGCTCCCTGGCCAGCGTGACTGACGTATTTGGTGCTATAAATACACAGCAATTTCAGGCATGTTCTACTTGTGGTCATTGTGGTCTCTAACTTGCACATGCCAGACTTGTATAGTGTTTTCCACGGGCCGAACAAATCAGGAGCTGTCATCAGCGATTGTTTATCCCTTTCTTGTTTCAGCTGCCTCAATAGTTCTGCAGATTCCCCACCTACATGCTCCTGCTCTGCTGGATACACAGGGAATGGGACCCATTGCACAGGTATGTCCAGCAAGTGTGGGCAAGATTCAAGGCTTGCAAACATCTGTTGAGGCTACACAAAGACAAGGGTCTTGTTTGTGATATAAATGGTATGATGTTGCCAGAGGATAGATCATTCAAATCCTTTTCCTCTCAGCCATTCACCATGAAGTCTGCCATCCTCTGGAAGAGAGGTTTTCCAGTTTGGAGCTTTACATTGGATACTCTTGATGTTGCTAGGTCCTGTGAGAGAGGGATAAAAAGTCAGGCAAGTGTAGTAGAGCAGTTCTTACTGCTTGTGGAGAGAGATGCACATGAATGGGTTGCTTTAGTTCTGGTATCACAGCAACAGCAGCAAAGATAAAAATTTTGGGCATGAGTCCCTGGAATATGGATGCTTCAATTCCCTCGAATTTTGTGTTCCTCCTATTTGTTGGCCATGCCAATATCAGGTAGAAGCAGTGCAGCAGTTGTGCCAAAATGAGGTAGGATTTCAGCATACCACTCTAGAGCTACATACAAATCTGGTCTATGTTAAAACCAGACAGACAAGAGAAAACCCACTCAAAGTGATAAAATTGTAACAGTCAAATCAAAACACTGTTGTGTTTTATCACAGTTTCTTTTCAGTATAACTCTTGTTTGAAAATGAGTGAGGGGAAAAAAGAAAAAAAAATTACATTGTGCAGGAAAATGTTTTTTTTCTGGTCTAACCATTAGTCCTCAGTGAGCAAATGCTGCGACAGCAACGTCTTAGTCCAGTTTGGGGGTTACTTAAGCTCAGCATGACTTTTGGACTGGCCTCTCTCAGATCCAAATGAGGCCCCATGCCTTTAAAGGACATACAGTTTCATCAAGAAATGAAGGGATTTTAATAAGATATGATTTTTGTTAAGATAGATGACCATTTTGGCACAGTTCATCTTTCCTAGCTCTGAGCTGATTCTGCTACTCTTGTATGTGGTCACAGAAATAGACCCGTGCACTGTCGATCATGGTGGCTGCTCTGTACATGCTGTGTGTACTAAAGTGTCCCCAGGAGAGAGAACCTGTGTTTGCAAGGAAGGCTACGCTGGAGACGGGACGCTTTGCATGGGTGAGTGCTCACTGCATGTTGTGGTGGTGGTGGTGAGGCACATCATCTTTGCAAAGGGGAATTTCAGGCTAAAAGCGTTAAAATTTCAGGTTAAAGTGTTGAATAACTCAATTCTTCTTTCACTCTGTCCATGTAGTGATTATTTCAAAACCAGTAATTGCTGGCTGATCTTGATTTAACTGTGGTTTAGCTTTTAGTCAAGGTGTTTGCACATATATGTGTATGTGTCTACATACATACCTGTAGGTATGTGCTCAGCGTTCTCTCAAGTCATGATTAGCAAGGTGGTCATCGCTGTCCCAGCACAGTGCCACCCAAAACTGGGCAGAGAGCCCACGCTGCCCTTGGCATCTGTCTCGCTGGATGGCCTCAGACCAGTGTTTTGGTCTCAAACCGAAAGAGCCCTGAGAGGTTTCTTGCCCTGATGCATGTCGTGGGGAGGTGCAGAGACAGAGGGTGAGGGCGGTCTCCCACAGTGCTGCTCTGAGGTGAAGGTGGAGCTGTGGGAGTCCTGTCCTCTTGTATCCTTTAAAGCACACCCAGGCAGGACTGGAATTTTCTGTGGGCAGATTTATCACAACTCAGAGACCCACGTGTGCCAGGAATAGAACTTGCAGTTGTACCCTATTCCTTTGCTATCACAAGTCACTTTTCCACCAGAATGTTTCCCAAGCTGGAAAGATCCTCCCTGTTGCTTTCCCAAGACCTCTTTGGGTCACCAATTCCCAGCTGCCTTGAGCAGCTCTCGGCAATAATGTGGCCTTACTGTTTTGCTGCAGAAATTGATCTCTGTCTTGAAAGCAACGGGGGCTGCCACACCAACGCAGAGTGCATTAAAACAGGCCCGAGGAAGGTGAGTATGTAAGGTGGATGTTAGGGCAACTTTACTATGGAGGTTGTCACAGCTGTGTAATTCCCTTAGAGACGATCCTTTCCACGGCAGTGCGCTGCCTTGTGCTTATTACATTCCACATAGAAAAGTTGCCTGGGAAGGGCATGAAAAGGTTGCTGTTTCCTTGAAGCAGATGTCTTCTGTTGGCCAGAGGCTGGAGGCAGTCTCGGGTTATATTTGTTGTTGACACAAGCATGGTTATTCGTGAATGTAGCAATGGGTGATGTACTACATGCTTTCCATCCAGCTCAGCCATCGCATGTTTTCCTTTGTTGGGTTCAAGTTTCAGACCGAGCCTCTGTTCTCCCTCCAGGTTGCCTGCAACTGTCTTCCTGGTTACAGTGGGGATGGAGTGAGCCAGTGCAACCCCATCAACTTGTGTGAACAGGTATGTCTGCACTTTGCTGTCACCAGGGGTGAAGGCCACAGCCTTGAAGCATCCCTTTCTCCCAACAGTTAAGAGCAAGAACAGGGTTAGCCTGCTTGTTTAGAGCTGGCTATCTTGCCTTTTCAGATACCTAAGAGATTTCCTAGTGTGTTCCCTTTCCCTTGCCTATCGCAATGACCCACAAGAGGCCATCTGGCACTCCCTCTTGTGAGAGCTGCAGTGTGGAAACAGTGACATAGGGTTGGAGGCACGTGGGCTTGTTTCTCTGCATCTATTTTGTGTGGAACATGCTCAAAAAAGCTTAAAAGTAATCTGTGCTCACAGCATCACTGCCATGTCAAAATCTCTCCCTGAATCATGGCATGATTTTGTCATCACTGGGAGTTCCAAAGTGAGGTGTGAAAGGCTTGTTTCATGGGAGGATTGGGTGCTAAAAAGCCCTTGAGGATTTGGGTGAAGTTTATCTAAGGCACTAGACAGATGGGAAGAATAGTTTCCCTTCCACTGGGCTGGATGTAGTCAGCAGCTCCCTCAGGCAGGCGGCTGTTCAAATTCTTGGTGATGCCCCTCCATGCAAGCCTTTCTCTTTTCTTGCTAGAACAACGGAGGCTGTAGTCCATTTGCGCTCTGCAAGTACACGGGCCCTGGCACTCGAAACTGCTCCTGCTCTTGGCACAGTGTTGGAGATGGCTTCACCTGCCATGGCAAAGTGTATCAGGTGAGAAGCATGCCCAGCATCTTTCGTGTTCAGGGCCCCTGCTCTGCAGCAAACCGCTCCCTCCCCTCCAAGTGTAAGCTGCCGGTGAGCAGACCTATAGTGTCATATTGACATGTGTGTGGTGTAGGACCGGAGATGGGTGCTTTGAGGCAAACTGCCGTAAATCATAAGTGTATTTGGGGTGCCAGCTGGGGGAGACAATCACAGTAAAGTGACCTTGCTCCAAAGGGAGCTGTGATGCAAACACTCTGCTGCTCTGTCACAGCACTGGCCATACCTCCAGGGTGCTGTTTTCTTAATATGACAAGCAAAGGGGAGTAAATTTTTTTTTTTTTTTTTTCCCAAGGGAACCCATTTCGCCCAGTCTGTCCGAAAAGGGCAGGTGTTCCCTGTGGCCATGCCAGGACTTGGGATGCAGTCTGGAGGGCAGCAATCTGGCTATGTTGCCAATTCAACAGCTGTCCTTGGGCAAACTGATGACCTTTTCTGTTAGTGGCAAATAAAAGCTGTCATGGCCATGGCAGAGCCAGGAGAAAAGATATGGATTCGGTTCTGTGCTTCTGCTCTTACTGAAAATTAGTGTGGTAAGGAGAGGGAGTTTGCTCTGCCAAGCCTATGGCTGCCACTCTGGTCAGCATCCCAGAACTGGTAGTGGCAGTACAGGGAGGTTAAAGCAGATATTTTGTGAAGCGCTTGAGGTGTCCCATGAGGACAGGGGCAGTTAAACCTATGAGACAGCTGCTGCAGCAGTAGACAGCTTTCGTCTCTCTGCCCTCTCCATCTTGCAGCATCTGTGATGTGAGTGGTCCAGGCAGAGGTCACTGCCTGCTTTGTAACCTCCACATCATCCGTGCCGCAGTGCTGGCAAGAGAGGGAGGGAAAGATCGCTGTGATGTGTCAGGAGAACCGATGTCTCATTGGGGTGGGAGAGTGACCTGGAGTGGAAGGAGCAGGTCACTGTGCTGGCTGGTGAGGAGCAAGTGGAAGGGACTCTGCTAACACCAGCTGTTTCTCTTTGTTGAAGGAGCTTGGAAGGACTGAAGATGCATCCGTGTTCTTTAAGATGATACTGGTTGGTGACAAACAGCTCTGTCCTTGTCTCTGTGTAGAAAATCCCACTTAGGGTTTTCTGCAAAGGGTCTTTCTAACTGCAAGCATGTTTTCTGTTTCCCTTCCCACAAATGCTCTTCTACCTCAGGCGGAAAACATCAAGGAACTCAGTGGGGCAGGGCCTTTCACTGTCTTCGTCCCACAGACAGATTTCATCAGAAACACCACAACAGTAAGTGTCCTTCCACCCCAAGCACTGTCAGGTGTTTGGCAAGCTCCAGTTGTGGTAATTTTCCCTCTGGGGCTGTTCTGCCCAGTGAATTGAAGCAAAGGGGCTGCACTGTAGAGGGTTCAAGGCATCCCACCTTCTCCATCAGTGTGAGAGCAGAGGTTTGGATGCCGGCTCGCTACAGAGACAATCTGGGCAGGGGTGGGCATGGCTCCTGTTGTAAGGAGACCCTTACTGAAGTCCCTGCCTCATGGTCCTCAGAGGCACCGTGCCAAATCAGTAATGTGTGGTGACTTTCGTTGCCCATGGCTGTTAGGGACAGGTAACAGCAAGGCTTCACGGCATCTGTGATGAAGACCTCTTATTCCTGCTTTGTGCCCCAGGCCCTGCCATTCTGCCTCCATTGGTCCCTTCCCTCTAGTCCCAGTTAAATGGGATGTCTGGGGCAAGTGGAGACCTGAGGGAAGAGAGATCCTTATTTATGACCCTGTGAACCAGACAGGTTCTTGACCAACAGCTTTCTGGTGTCGGTGTATTGGAAGATCCTAATACCATCACTCACAAGTCCCGTTGTGCAGCTTCACACCACTAGTCCCAACCTCTTTCCACTCAGTAAAGGAACAATTCCTAATGACCATGTATCCCAGGTGTCACTTCCTCAAGGCCATGTGGTTGTTTGTCCTCCACCAAGGGACCTGAATGCTGGTTTTGTCAAGCTGATCGAAATTTCCCAAAGCTCTCAAATGGTTTTGTGCATTCACCGTGTGTTGGGGGGGACTGGCTTTTCTGCAGGGATGGGTCAGAGGGGGCTTGGGCAATCCAGGTCTCCCTCATTGGGTCTGCCCGCCCCCCACAAGGCAAAGTTCCTCCAGTGTGATCTCATTCTTGTTTTTTCTCTGTAGTTTGAGGAGTGGAGGAGCAGGGGTCTCCTCCGGGACCTGCTTCGCTACCACATGGTGGGTTGCAAAAAACTGCTGTCCAGTGACCTGGAAGCCCAGGAGTCCCTGACATCTTTATCTGGCCACAAAATAAAAATCACAGTGAAAGAGGTAGTTCTCTGCCACAGTTTCCTTCCCTGTCCCCCTTGGCAGGATGTCACTTTTGCTGTCATTTGAAGGCCACTGTAGTTGTGGCAAGTGACTTGCCTAGGGCCCACACGTGGCTTATAGGGCGGTGCCGTGGGTGGGAATACCTCATCGCATCACTTCTCTCTCAGAATAGCATCTATCTCAATGAGGAAGCCAAAGTGGTTGTGAGTGACATCATCGGCGTTAACGGACTCATTCATTTCATCAACAAGATCCTCATTCCAAGTGACCTGGTGGACCGTAACATTTCCTCAAAGATCTCACAGGTAAGTCTGAAGCAGTGAGTGTGCCCCGATAACTGCCGTGACAAGGACAGGGCTCGGATCTTTCTCCCAGCAGCTCTGATAGTGCTGTCCCTGATAAGCCCTTCCACCCACACCCTCAGCCCAAGGCCACGCGGGGTCCTTTTCCTCCCGGTTCCTAGCTGTGTGTGGGGTGTCTGAGGGCACGGATTTGGCCTGTGAAGGTGTCAGCATTTGTGGCATAGCAATATTTGGGACAGAAGGAGCTGTGATTCATCGCTATGGAACAACAGTACTGGAGGTAGGCGGGGGATCGTGTCCCATGCCAACCATCACACTCCTTTTTCCAGTGCAGAGCAGATTGCCACGTGAGATTGCCAATGTCTCTCTGGTACTCCTCAAACAAGTGCTAGGAGCTTATAGATCCTGCATGTTACAGTAAATAACACATCTTCTGTACAGCACAACAGAGTGCTGAAATTCATCCCAGCTCCTGCCATAGCAGTGTCTACCCACTATCCAGAATGAATCAGAAAAGTGGTGGCTGCTGAATGCCAGTGCTCGCCAGGCCAAATCCATCGGCCTGATGATGACAGAGATAAACTTGTGTTTTGCTACCATAGCTGTTAACCATCTGGTTTCTCCCTCACATTACTGCTCTAGGTCCTGGATGGGGACCTCTTAGTGACAATTGTTTGCTTTCTTCCCTCTGCAGCAAAGTATCACAGAGGTGGCAGAGGCCTTTGGGTACACCATTTATAGCAAGCTGCTGCAGGTGAGCGACCTGACTCCTGCTGCTCTGTGGGGAGGTGGTGTGTACATGTGCATGTTCAGTTTTGGCTTGTGGCTTTTTCTTTGTATCCCCTCTTATCTCGGACAGGACGCGGAGCTGCTTCCACTGATTAGTGATCCCCTGCATAGACCGTTCACCATGCTGTGGCCCACAGATGCTGCATTTAACGCCCTCTTGGAGAAAAGGCAGAAGTGGCTGTACCGCAGAGAGCACCGGGACGTGCTGGCCTCCTACCTCAAAGCGCACATGATCAGGGACACAAGGGTAAATGTGACAGCAAACAGGCTTGTACCTCCTGAGGCCACCTGTCATGCCACCACCTGCCTGTGGTTACGCCAGAGCGACCTTGCCAAATATTTTGCTGCTGTAGAATATGCAGAATATTAGTTGTCTTGAGAAGACCCAAAGCTGTTTGAGCATTTGAGGCAGCTACTGCTTCACCGTGAACCTCTGGTGCAGAGTGGCTGAGCTGAAACCTTCTGTCATCAGATTCTTGGGGAGGCCACATCACCGCCAGAGCATTGGTGCAAGGCTCACAAACAAGGTTTTGTCTATAGGGGTGATGAATGAGGGAAGTCCAGCTGAGCAAAACCAGGGTCTGCTTACACACACTGATCTCTCACAGTTCAGGAATCTGGGACTAATCCAGTGTAGTTATTCCACCCACACCAGCTTCACACGCTGCCACGTCAGACCCCCTCTTGGTGTGGCTGCTGACCCCTGTCCTCAGCAGGCAGCATCCCATTAGAGGTATGAACTGCCAGTTTTGCCTGTCTCTCCCTTCACATTCTTCTTTTTCCCTCTTAGATTGTTGCTGGTAATGTGCCCCAAGTCAAATCCCTACGGACCATGCACGGCTTCACCATCTCATTCAGCTGCAGCAAAACCCAGGTGGTGAGTGATGGCAATGTTGGGCTCCGCAAGTGTCCTTGGGCCTAGCCATGTGGCCACTGATGCTCCGTGACGCTCACCAGCAGGAAGCGAACACAGAGTTGGGGTGCTTGTGGGCTGAGACACCCCATTCCCCTGGTTACCGCTGAGCCTGTAGAGAGGCTTGAGAATTTGTGGCCAGCTGACAGGAAAGTGCGGGGGCGTGTGGTACCTGCACATGCACTTCACAACAACCAAGTTGCGAAGCCAACTGCATGGTGCCATGAGCTTTACAGAGCACATGTTGCATGGACAAGAGGCCATTTCTTGGGAGAGGTGGCCATGAAGAGTGGCAATTGGGAAGGGTAGTCAAGGACAGGAGGGGTGATTGAGAAGTCATGACAGCCAAAAAGGACAACTGTTGGGTGGTGCAGCCAGGATGTAGGATGTGCCAGGATCACAAGTTGCTTTCTTCTTCTCATAGGGGGAGCTTCTGGTGGGGAACGGTGATGCCACCATTATCGAGAGGCACATGGAATTCAATGGAGGCATTGCTTATGGCATCGATAGGCTGTTGGAACCACCAGATCTGGGATCTCGGTGTGATGAGTTCATCCTTGTTGAGCTGCAGGTGAGCACTTGCAATGAGGCCAGTGAGGATCTGTGCCATCTGTTGAGCCCCATGCCTGGGAAGAGGGATATTGGGAGGGCTTGCTGCTCATCCTCGGCAAAGCTCTGAGCAGCCAAGAGAGGCAGAAGCACATACTGAGTTGTTGTGGGGTTTCTTTCTCCCCTCCACAGCGATCTGCAGAGAGCTGCGGACTCTGTGGCTTCGAGCCACCCTGCCCTGCTGGCTCCGTTCAACAGGTAAAGCTCGCAGCTTTGGCACTGAGGAGGCCCGTTACAGGGCTGATGACAATACCTGCACACCCCTCATGTTTTAGCAGCAAAATGAAGGCACATCTGCACGTGGCAAGTCCCTCAGCTTGGTCGCATTGTCCATGCCTTGCCCCAAGTCCCATGGTCTCCTAGGGCAGGAGCTGGGCTGAGCAACTTGGGGTCAGGGGCTCCAATGGTCTTTGCTTGGTCAATCCTGATATGGGTGACAGCGGCTGCAGGAGTCCCTGCAGCAGCACTGGGGGCTTCTCTGGGGGCTTTATAGCAAAAGAGCTTGGTCTGGCCACTGGAGATAGGATGGTGAGCAGCCTTGGGGGGCAGTGGTTGTACCCCACTCTCACTGCATTGCCTGTTGTCTCTCTGCTGGGCTAGTGGCATGTCCCTGAGGTACACCTGTGGCTCCTCTGTCACCAGCCCCATCGCATGTTAGGAAGCCTCTGTTACTTGTTGTAAAACTGAGTGAATGGCACAAGAAAAGTCAAGGTGAGACGTCAGTGACCAATGTGGCAAACTCTGTGTTTTGCCTGTTTCCTCGCAGGGGGAAACCAGGCGCTGCTACTATTACGGAAACCAGCTGTTGAGAAACACTTTTCTGTTTCACCACAACTCCCTGTTGCGGCCGTCCTGGCCGCCCTCCCCGTGGGACTCCTTCAGAAGACGCTTCTCTTCCAGGGGGCCTCTGAAACGAGGCTGCAAGAGGAGCTGCATGTCCACGCAGTGGGTCCCTCAGTGCTGTGCGAACCACTATGGCCGAGATTGTCAGGGTAAGGAGCCAGGCGACCCTTTCCCCTCCCGGCCCTTTCTCTCGTGGAAAGGTGGCGTTTCTGGTTCAGCACAGATGTCTGGTGCCCATGAAGGGTGAGAAAAAAAACCCAGTCCAGGAGCCGCAGTCCATAGAGGGTGCAGGGAACAATCCCCTGGGAGTGTGTGTGGATGGTGAATGGGGAATTCCCTTTCTTTGGAGAAACCTGTGTCCCCATGGAGAGTGCTGGGCACAGGGCTGCAGGGGGTGGCTGTCAGACATGTCACTCACCCATAGATGTTGACGATGCTCAACCATTCCCCAGTATCTCCCCTCTGTGCTTTGTGCATTGGCAGCTTTCACATCCTTGGATGAGTCTGCTGCCAGGTTAGCATGGGGTGGGCCAGCACACTCAGCACGTTGCAGCAGAGGGTCTTCCCATGCTGGGAAGGGACACTTGTCCCTCCTGCAACCGTTCCTAAGGTTTATTGTTATGGCATGTCCCCAGCACCCACTCCTCAGGCCGCCAAGCAGGCTCTATCATCCAAACACCCCGTAAGCGGCAGCTGATGTGGCACCTGGGGTGCCGGCTCTGCACGGGGCAGCGGGTGGCTCCCTTCCAGCACAGGGTCACTTTGTCACCACAGCCTCACTAAGGTGCCCCATTTGCAGCGTGTCCGGGAGGGCTGGAGGCGCCGTGCAGTAACCGTGGTACCTGCGATGACAAAATCGGTGGCTCGGGGAGATGCAACTGCAGCCAGGCTTTCATTGGGAGCAGCTGTGAGCTGTGCGCCCCCGGCAGATACGGGCCAGAGTGCCGAGGTAAGACCCTTCCACCTGTGGGGCAGCAGCGGCATGGAAAGTTTGTGCAGCAGTGGCTGCGGCACATGGTGCCACTTGGAGAGGGGGTGGGTGCTGGGCTGACCTCTTTGCAGTGTACAGCAGGGGAATCAGTGCTGCCACGGAAGCATCAGTCCCAGGAATGCTCAGGTCAGACCTCTGGGGCTGGGGACATTCGGCAGGACAGCTGTTTGAGCAAACGTAGTTTGCCACCTCAAACTACTCCAGCTGTAGTCTGAGAAGGCTGGGTGGCACGTGCCAATGGCCTCACTTCTGTGCCGAGGCCGTGGGGTCAAAAACTCCTTGTTTGTCACACACGCGCGGCTGAGAGCTCCAGTCTGGAAGAAAGCGTTATGATGTATTTTGGGCTGGGGGACAAATCCCTAAGTCGTGATGAACCCTGGACAGAAAGAGCATTTCCTGGGACATGCTCAGCAGAGACCTGTACCCTGTGAGGCAAAGGGAAGGGAAAGGAAATTCCCTGTCCCCCCTGTCCCAAGCTGGGCTTTATGGGGTCTCCAGGAATGTTTTTTGATGGCTGTATGGTTCCAGGGACTCGGAGTGAAAAACACATCTCTAGAAATGCCCAGGGGATGGGAACGATGGGGGTTTGTGGGTGCAGAGAGGCTTTCCCTCTTCTGTGAAGGGTGCACGTTGCAGAGCAGGTGGCCAGGGCTGGCAGCAACCGGACGGGATGCGTGCGTACTGCCATGGCTGCCTTCCTGCACTGCCCACACAAGCCAGTTTTCTGCCACGTGGCTGTCCCATGGCCTGAGCGGGGCCTTTCACCGCCACCAAGGCTGATGCCATGACAGTGTTTTTACCCATTCCCGACAGAGTGTAACTGTAGTGAGAATGGCGTGTGCAACGGAGGACTGCATGGCGATGGCTTCTGCTTCTGTGCCGAGGGCTGGACCGGAGAACACTGCGAAATCAGACTAGGTGAGGGATGCCAAGCCCCACCACCTGCTGTGCAACTTGGTGCCATGCGGCTGCTTTCCCAGCAGCTGGATTGTTCAAGAAGCTGCTCAGAGATATCTCCAAAAAAAGAGCTCTCTGTTGGGGGGAACTCATCCTGAGATCTGGCCCATGCTGTTGAATTTTACAAGGGTTGGGGTGGTGAGGAGGAGGAGGAGGAGGAGGAGGAGGAAACCTGTACTTGATCATGAACAAGTCCTTGAACTCGGACATGCTCCAGGAAGAGCCTGAGGGTGAGCTGAAGGCCTGAAGCTTATCTGAAGGAGTAATGGTCTCTGGGTTTGGGTGAGGCATCTGCAGAAAAGCACAGAGGGAAAGTGGGGGGAGCATGGGGCAGGTGGCATGGGGCAGAGGCTGGCGATGGCAGCTGTGCCCTTGTTGCAGCCCTTAGATCATTCTGACCTGTGCGTGTTCTGGTTTCAGATATGACGCCCACCTGCTCTCCACCATGCCACCCCCAGGCCATGTGCCGCTCTGGCAACCTCTGTGAATGCAACCTACACTACGAAGGAGATGGGAGAATGTGCTCAGGTAGGGGGGAGCCACGAGGGGCTGGGGTGGAGGGGTGGTGAGCGAAGGGGAAAGTGGACAACACTGCAAGACAACAGGTGACCATCTCCTGAGCAGCTCTGTGGAGGATGGCAATATCCGTGGGATGTCTGGCAGGACAGACAGACGACCAGGACACGTAGCAAGGTGTTTTAGTTAACCTAACACTTTTATCCCTGCAGTGATCGACATGTGTAGCCAGGACAATGGGGGCTGTGCCAGCCACGCATACTGCACGCAGGTTGGCGTGAACGTCTCTTGTGCCTGCGCTTCCGGGTACAGAGGCGACGGCTACGTCTGCGACCCCATAGACAGGTGTGCGGATGGTAGGAACGGGGACTGCAGCCAGCACGCTAACTGCATCAGCACCGGGCCGGTGAGTACATCCCCTGTGTCCAGGGAGTTCTGCATGCCTGGGAGAACAGTGCAGGTGGCTGCCGTGGGATCCTTCTGGCTGCTGGAGGGCAGCGATGTGACAGTGTCCCCTGTTACTGCAGTCCCCAGGCCTACCCCTCCTCTCTGGTCCCCTCAGCTATTGCGCTCATCCTGCAGGTCCTTACTGCTGGGCAGGGGCCATGCCCTCAGTCTGCTGCCAGGTTGCGGTGATGGTCCTGCTGATGTAATGCTTTTCCCCATGCCTCTGTCCAAAGGGCATAAGCTGTGTCAGTTGTGGCATTTCTGGACTGTTCTGGGGGCTCTGGGATGGTACTTTGAGGATGGTGCTGGCTATTTTTGTGGAGGAACCAGAGCTGCTCACTGCAGGCCAGAAGATGGGACCGGGAACGTGATGCAGTGCAAGAATCATGAGCTACATACCTCAAAGCTCAGCTTTCCTTAAACCAGCATGTGACAAGGAGACAATGTGACATTTTTTTGCTTCATGTGCAGTTGGATATGGGGGCAAGACAGAGGCCATGTGGCCTTTCGTAGCTCTGTCATAGTCCCAGTGGGCTGTGGAGGCATTCTGAAGGCTCATCCCCATCTTCACATGGATACAAGGATCCCCAGCTGGCATCTGCGTGCTTGCGCTCACACAAATGCCATCCTTCCTCTGTGCTGCAGAATGAGCGGCACTGCGAGTGCAAGCGGGGATACGTTGGTGACGGGATCCAGTGCCTGGAAGAGGCCGTGCCCCCCACGGACCGCTGCCTGGAAGACAACGGGCAGTGCCATCGGGAGGCCATTTGCACTGACCTGCACTTTCATGGTGAGTGTGCTCAACCCTGCAGTGCCAGGGATGATGTTCCATGGAGAGGTCACACTCCCTCATGCTTCACCTTCTGGCTGGGGCACCCCTTGAGACAGCTGGAGGGTGGGGTGGCCTAGGAGATTCGTCTCAGTGGCTTGGTCTGGTTCTCACATTCCCATTTTCCCATACGTGTATGGGAGAGGACAAGCCATCCTTGTCTGCTCCTGTGTGACGCGTGAGATGGCCTCTGGTGGGATTGCACTGCCAGTAAGCACTGACTCCCTCGTGGAAGGCAAGAAGCTCAGAGAAAGCCGTGCTGCTTCCCACCTTGCCCTCACTTGAGCATTGCCCACATCCCACCCCTCCTGTGCAGCACAGTGCTCACACAGGGACCCATGCGACTGCCCCAGGCACCCTGCTCGCTCTCCATGCTGTACTGATGCTCCCTGGCCTTGGTATTTTGCAGATAAGACTATGGGCGTATTTCATCTGCAGTCACCCCGAAAAAAATACGACTTCACTTACGAGCAGGCTCAGGCAGCCTGTGCTGCAGAAGGCGCTTCCCTGGCCACTTTCCGGCAGCTCTCGGCAGCACAACAGGTCGGGGCAGGGATGCAGGAGTTGGGCAGGGGCTGGCTCCATCGCCTCGTGGGGGGGACACACACGCAGTGCTTCTCCCCAATCCCAGTCCAGCAGTAGCTGGCGATGCGTGGGTGGGTGACCCTCTCATCCCCGCGGCTGGGCCCTGTTTGCTCCATCTACAGCCGTGGACCCAGGAGGGCTGGTGGGGCTGGCCAGTCACACTGGGACAAGACCTCTGGCAGTGCCCAGCCCTTCGGGTGTTGGGGGGATGTCGGATAAGGCTGCATGATGGGAGTGTGCATCAGGACAGAAAACTTGGGCCAGAGGTATTATTTTTAATTTAATCATTCATTTTCCTCTGCTAGATGGGATTCCATCTGTGCTTGGTGGGTTGGCTGGACAACGGCACAGCCGGATACCCCACGGCCTACCCCAACCCCAGCTGCGGGGCTAATCGAGTGGGCATTGTGGACTACGGCTCCCGAAGCAACCTGAGCGAAACCTGGGATGCGTTCTGCTACCGGGAGAAGGGTGAGTGGCATGAGCACATTTCCTGGGAACAGTCCTGTCGGGCACAAGAGGCGTGTCAGGGAAGGCAGAGAACAGAGCATGAGGCATGGCCCGGCAGGCACATCCCCCCTCTCCCCTTGCCCGTGTTGGGAGGGAACATGCTAAGGGGCATCCAGAAGTCAAGGGAGGGCCGGTCAGCGTAGCCACCATTGGTGAGTCTTGTCGTATCTTGGCATTCCTTTGCAGACTTGACTTGCACCTGCCAGGACGGGTTTGTGGGAGATGGGTATTGGTGCAGCGGCAAACTCCCTGATGTGCTCGCAGATGACGCTCGCTTCTCCACCTTCTATTCCGTAAGCGATGCTCTCCTGGTTCTTCAGTACACCAGCAGCCAGCAACAAGGCAGAGAGAGGGATCGGCTGTAATGGAGAAGTGGTGGTTTGGTCTGCATGCCGGGTGGAGTCTGCAAACACAGAAGCATTTTCTTTCCAGGGCTGGGGGAGGTTCCTGGGCTGGGGAAGGTAACAACATCGAGCTGCGGGCAGGGTGCTGATGGGGAACATCTCCCATCTTTTCCAGATGTTGCTCGATTTTGCTAATGACACAGAAGAAGGGCTGGATTTTTTCATCTCTTTATCTGATGACTCCGCTCCCAAAACTCTCTTTGTCCCTCTGAATTCTGGCTTCGCAGACAATGAAGTAAGCAAGCAGGGATGAGTGGCCACTCAAGGGTGCACGAAAAGAGCTATTGGAGCCCCAGAGGAGAGCAGGATTCCGCCAGAACTGGCGTGATGGTGATGTGAAATAGAGTCGGGGGAAGGCGGGGGAAGTCAAGTCAGAGGGGACTGCTGGAGGTCCCTAGTCCAACCCTGCAGGGGAGGAAGAGCCATTTAGATCCGGTTGCTCAGAGGGAAGGGGTGAGAGCCAGCCCAGCCCTTTCTCATCCCTATGCCCTATTGCTTTTTCAGACGCTGACAGGAGAAGAACTGAAGCTCCACGTGTCATCCAGCAATGTCGTACTGTTCAGCTTCAACCTCACAACAGGCACCATCATCCCCTCCCAGTCAGGATATGACCTCCATGTGTCAGACCTCCCAGTGGGCAACAGCACGGAGCAGGTCAAAGCCCCACCAGTTTTCACCGCATCTCTTTTGAGATCGGGAACAACGGGGAGGTGTTGTGATTGGGTGGCATCATCTCTGTCCTGTGCTGTAGGATGCCAAGGGGATCAATGACACGATGATTGTGGAGTGGGACATCATCGCTTTCAACGGCATCATTCATGTGATCGCAGAGCCCCTGAGGATCCCACCGCCCGTTGTGCATCTTGGTCAGGTGAGTGTCTGAGGGCACCCACGGGGAAGGAAGGTGCTGAAACGGCCGGCGGCAGGCCAGGGAACGGGGACGAGGCGACCGAGTCCTCCCAAGCACTGGCCTCGTCCCCTCTGCTCTCCTGGCACGGCTCGTTTTGGCCGGGCTGCCCACAGTCACGCTGGGGAGCC